GTTTCTACGGAAACCTAACAATGTGTGATAGAGACTGACTGCAGCAGTCGATTTCGAAGAGAGGAGTGAGTACTGTGCATGTATATGCCTCATCATTGTGGAACATATGAATTTTTGATGATATTTCGCATGCACTCAGTTGAAAATGCTCTCTCGTTTAATGCTGCTGCTGTTTTTATTGCAGAATTCAGTTTGTTTGTTCGAATGTTTTTCAGATTACGTTTTTTATCGCTGCTTCGTTCGTTTTGTGCTTTGTCTGTGTTTGGGTTTGACAACCGTAGTGAATTGCGTTGTGTGCGTATCTTTGCGCCTTTCCATCATAACCATTTCAGTCTCTCTCTTTCCTCTGACATCTTGCAGTGATGCAGTGATATTGTAGTGTTATGTAGTAAAGTGATTTTATTAGTATTCATCGTCGCATCACAATAAACACACATAAGTTTTTAGGTATAACTACAATTGCTCGTTGTTTTGACCTTATTGTTAGCATGTTTCCAAGTGATAGTAGCAGTTTAACGGAGATTGTGTTGAGTCGTGTGGTATGTTCGCTCTGTTCTCGCAAATTTAGGTTTTGTACCGTATTTGAGTAAGGTTCGGTTATTTTTTGTGGTCTTAGTAGCACATTTATAATGTCAGCGATCCATTCATTCAGTATTGTGGTGTGTGTTTAAACTGCTCTTGTTGTTGGGTTGTGGTGTGTTCGTTTGATTTTGTGTTTACTTGCAAATTTTTTAGATATTCGGCTGGTATTCCTTATTTTGTGGTGGTTGATGGGTGTTGTTCTGTTGTCAGTTTGTTGGGTTGTGTGCTGCTTGTCTGTGTGTGTATGTGTGCGGAAGCATTTGGATGAATGTGCTGGTGGTTTCTCGGATGAATAGCAGCTGGGCAAAAATTATCGATTTCGAATCGAATATTTGAATGCAGGGTGCTGCTGGCAAGCAAGCAAGCAGATGCATCGACTAGGAATTAGGCTATTCGTTCGCTTTTTTGTGAGGGGGTGGGCAAACGAGGATGGTACTGCATGAAGCGCAGAATAAGCGCATTTATCGTGCTGAAAATTGTTTATTTCTTTGTTGTCTAAGAGAAATTAGTATCATTTAATGTGAAGTTGGATGGTTAATGATCAGTGGAATGGTCGTGTTGTTCGTTGTTTCATATTTCAAGATTTTTTCGACTGATTTATGTAATAAAAATGTCGATGTGGATATGAGATATCCGTTGTTGAGGGCTTTTAGCACTGAAATGCGCAAATGATTTTGTTCAGTTGAATTGATTGACGGTTTGCGTTGAATACAGTCAAGTGGAGGTTGTTGTTGAGTTTTTGCTGATTATTTACTGGATCGTAGGTCAAGAAAGTATGGCTCGTCCAAAGGTCTTCTTCGACATTACGATTGGTGGCAGAAGTGCCGGTCGCATATTGATGGAGCTGTACTCGGATATCGTGCCGAAGACTGCCGAAAATTTCCGCTGTCTTTGCACTGGTGAACGAGGAATGGGCAAGAGCGGTAAACCGTTGACCTTCAAGGGTTCCAAATTCCATCGTGTCATCCCCAATTTCATGCTTCAGGTTTTGTTCTCTTCAGATGCTTTTCATATCCTTGTTTTGCGTTGTTCTACAAGGTTGCCAATAATGTCAGATCAGTGACACGAAATCGAATGATCGGAAAAGTTTGATCTATTTGAAGGATCGACTGTACTCGTGATTATTTTCATACTGATAGAACTGTTGATTGCAGGGTGGAGACTTCACTCGTGGCAACGGAACTGGTGGTGAGTCGATTTACGGTGAGAAATTCGCTGATGAGAACTTCCAGGTGAATGCTTTGTTGGTTTGATTAAGACAGTGGTGTATCGTTTGGGCAAAT